TCTGGATTATTTTTTTCTTTTTGCTCTTCTGGTTGGGTGCTTTTTGTTTCCTCATGTTCCAAATTTCTGATTTGATTCTGAGGGTCCTCTACTCTACTGTTGATTCCATGTAAATTATTCTTCATTTCAGTTCATGTAGCCTTCATTTCTGATTGGTACTTTATTATGTCATCAATGATCTCATTTGTTTTTTTAAATAGTCTTACTAATATCCTTAAGCATCCTTATAACCATAATTCTGAACTCTGTATCTAGTAGCTTGCTTGGTTCTATTTCATTTAGTTCCTTTTCTGGAGATTTCTTCTGTTCTTTCCTTTGTGACTTTGTTTCTTTGCCTCCACATTTTGGCTGCTTCCAGGTGTTTGTTTCTATGTATTAGGTAGAGCTGCTAAGTCTCCTGGAATTTGTAGAGTGGTTTTGTGTAGTAGGTGTCCTGTAGGGTCCAGTGGCTCAGCCTCCTCAGTCACCTGAGATGGACCTTCTAGGTGCTCCCCTGCGTGCACTGTCCTGTTGTAGTTGAGCCTTGGTTGCTGGTGGCATCACTAGGAGGAATTGACCCCCAGGCAATCAGCTGTGAGGACCAGCTGCAACTATAGCCAAAGAGCTGCTGTGCTGGAGAGACCCCTATGGAGCAGGATTTACTTCAGTGGAGCTTCGGTGTTCACCAAGTGAGCCCCTTGAGTGTGTCACTCATGGATGTGGTGGGGTTGTAATCCAGCGTGGTCGAGTCTGACCACTGGGTGCACTGTCTCTGGGGCCTCCGGGGAGGTGAACAGTCAGCCTCTGCCAGTGCCTTGCCCAGGGCCACCCAGCATGAGCTACACGGCTACATAGTTGGCTGCTACTTGTGCTGGGCTTGGCGGTGTCCAGGAGAGGCCAAGCTATGAGCCAATGCAGGCTGCTGCTAGTGCCAGGCCTGGGGCCACTTATTAAGCCAAATGGGGCCCACTGCTGCTTGTTTGAGAGATTTTAGGAAAGTCCTAAGCATGAGGCTCAAGAGGCCACTTGCATAGAAAAGCCCCTGGAAACGGCCCGGATGAGCTGCAGGTGGGGAGGGGCGGGGCCTCCGGGAATCACGGGGCGGGGCCAAAGGCG